AAGTGTCTTTACCAGATAATTCAACAACAGAGGACCCTTGGAACTGCCATGGCCCACCTCCTCATGATTATGGACTCCCCCAGGACCCCCTCCGGTTGCCTATGCTTGGCTAACCGAGTTAGGCAGACCAAGACTGTCACAAGCTGGCATTACCCATGCGGCTGCCCTTAATCATGACGCATTTTTAGCCAAGGACGGGTAAGATGTCCCATGGCAAGCACTCCTAAGACAGGACATGCACATGGCCAGGTGCATGGTCCAGGTCAGAGTTGACACAATCTAAGACAGGCAAAAATGCATAAGGTTAGAGGAAGGAGATAGCCATCTCTCCTCAGGGAACCCGTCTATGAGGTGGGTAACCCATGAAATAAAGTCAGTCCATCCTTAAAATAAAAATAAAAGGGGGAGATGTGGGGACCTAAAGGCCCCACCTTGCAGAGGTCCAAGAAGAAGTTACTGGGGTGCGGCCTGACTTGTTTTAAAAGGCTGAAGAATACTTCCACACTGCTGAGAAGTGCATGTTCAGCACCTGACCATCTTTAAGACACACCTTTGGGGGGGGTGGATTTCCAGGTGCCTTTATAAGCTCTGTAACGCCTGCAATAAATGAGTCCCTGCTTGACTAGGCTCCCCGTTGCGTCTGATTGTCCCCGGTACTGGGGGCAGTGTGGGCTGGTGAATGGCGCGCTTACTCATCCCAAATCATCACTGTGGGGGGGGTCGCAGGCTCAAACCCCCCGCACATAGTCTCTTTTAAAAGTCTCTTAACTGTGGGTGGGCTTCTGTAAAATCCAAAAAAAAAAAAAAAAAAAAAGTACTGTCTTATTTCAAAGGGAAGAATCGGGCACACCTAAGCAAAACCAAAGTCCAGAAAAGTAGCTCAAGGCTGGACATCTGGGACTCACTCACAACCTTCTGGGCTCCATAGGGTTCTGGCAACTCCACTTCTCTGACTCTGCCATCCACAGCACACACAGGTCATTTCGCAGACCCAGGCCAGCTCCATTCCATACCTACTGCTGTCCTTGGTGGTCGTCCCATGGTCCTGGCATCTCCAAAAAGCTGGGGTCTCCACTGAAACTGATGCTACACCTTCACCAATGGCCTCTTCTTGCCTCTCCAGGTGCAAAGCCTCAGATTCTCTCCATGACCCCTTCAATCCTGGGGTCTTCACTGCAACTGAAGCTGCACTTTCACCTATGGCCTTTCCTGGCCTCTCACAGTGCCAAGCCTCAGCTGCTCTGTGACCCCTTCACGCTTTCAATACCACCACCATGCAGGAGACTGTTAGATATTACCAAGTCCTGTTTCTAGCTTGAGATGGAGGCTCAGGTCCCCTCTGTATGCTGATCCTGAGGAAATACCTCCCAGAAGATTTCACCTCAGTGATGCTGGTCTCTTATTACTTAGAGCTGATTTTTCAGCCCCAGCTAACCAGCATCAATTGTCCCAGTAAAGCAAAGGTTTTGCTTCAGGTTCTGGTTTCTTCTTAATCACAGCTGATTCTTCAGCCCTAGCTGACCAGAACCCACAGATTCTCAATTCAAAATGTCACACAAACAGCCCCAATAGTCTCTACTTCCCTTTGAAGCTTCACAAGCCAGGCCTCCATCATTCACAACTCTTTCAACATAACTGTTCCAAGAGCCACATGAACAAACTCTGAGCACTCAATGGCTTTTCCAGCCCAAAGTTTGGAATGCTTCCACAATCCTCCTAAAAATACTAAGGTCAGGTCTGTCACAGCAATATCCCACTCTCTGGTACCAATTTCTGGTACCAATGTCTCCCCATTACTGCAACACTCTAACCAATACCAACTTGGGGAGGAAAGGGCTTATTTGGCTTACATATCCCAGGTCACAGTTCATCCAGGAGCCCAGGGTAGAAACTCAGGGCAGGAACCTGGAGGCAGGAGCTGGAGCACAGGCCATGGAGGAATGAATGCTGCTTACTGGCTTGTTCCCCTGACCCCTACTCAGCCTGCTTTCTTATGTAACACAGGCCCACCTGCCCAGGGGTGGCACCACCCACAGTAGGCTGGGCCCTCCCACATCACTCAACAATCAAGAAGGTGCCCCATGGATATAGCCACAGACCAGTCCAATGAAGGCAATTCCCCAATTGAGACTCCCTCAACCCAGGTGTGTCAAGTTGACACTAAAGCTATCGAGCACAATCAGTTAATCTTGTTTGGAAAGAAAACCACAGTTTACAGACCAGAAGGTGTTTATGTAGCTTAGTTTCTGATACTTTCACTATGGCCCTTGGAGGGATATTAAATCTATCTAAACCAAGTAAGCAATGCTGTTTCAGATGTAAACTACTATACACTGGCAAACACTGAGAAACATGGAGGCTTCCAAAGCAATTTTATTGAATAAAAGATCACATCAATCACACATACTTTCACATAAAATTGTAATCAGACTAGATTCAATTTGAGTTCAGTATTCTTATTATGTATCTTCAAGACTCCTTAGAAGCAAAAAGGTCATTCTCTTTTAGTAAGCTTATACATCAGATAACTGGAAGGCAACACAACATTATTAATATAGGGTACATCAGTCAGTATTCAGCTTGAAGTATAGAATTCAGGATACACCCCCCAAAACACAAGCAACACTCCATCCTATGCTAACAGTTAAAAGACTGTACTATAAAGATGCCATCTCTTCTTTTCAATTGTTTTACTTCCCACAACCAAATGTTTTGTTCCAGTTTTCATAAAGTTCTAGGTCTTTTGGAGACACACTAGGTCGCACAGTTCTAAAAGCATTTTCAAAATCAGTGTAAGTTATTGGTCGAACTTGATCTGGGGTGATGGTAGCAATGTCAGCAGTGTGCAAACTTCGGATAGGACCAAGAGAAGCTTCTCTGCAAAGTTGTGTCATGTCTGCTCCAGAAAACCCTTGAGAATGCTGCACCACCAGCTCAGTTTCTTCATCACTGAGGCAACACTGCTCTTTGGACATGAGATTAATTACTATCTGTTTTCTAGCTGAAGCTTCTGGGAGGGGAATATAAAGCCTTTTCACCAATCTTCTCCGGGCAGCTTCATCGATCTCTTGGGGCCGATTTGTGGCTCCCACCACTAATATACGGTCTTCAGCAGACGTGCTTGCTCCATCTAACTGAACTAAAAACTCGGTTTTTATCCTTCTAGAAGATTCATGCTCCCCATCTCCTCGCTGAGATAACAGAGAATCAATTTCATCAATAAATATCACAGCTGGCTGCTGATACCTTGCAACAGCAAAAAGCGCACGGACCATTTTCTCCCCCTCACCTACCCACTTAGAAGTCAAGGATGAAGCAGAGATGCTGAAGAACGTCGCCCCTGACTGACTAGCAATGCATTTGCCAATTAGGGTTTTACCAGTCCCTGGAGGGCCAAAGAGCAAAATTCCTTTAGGGGGGCCTCGTAACCCAGTAAAGATATCTGGCCTCATCATGGGCCATACAACGATTTCCTTTATTGTGGCTTTGGCAAATTCTACTCCTGCAATGTCTTCCCAATTTACTGGAGGCCCATGGTCCATAATTTCATTCATAATAAGTTCAATCATCTTTGGCTCCAAGTTCTTCAGACGGTCATCAAGAGGATGTGCTGCCTCTGAGGGCCCTGTCCCACTCAGCTTATACTGCAGCCCTCCATTCTGCTCTCCTCCATCTGACTTGGCTACAGGAGGAATAAATTTTCCAAATATCCCCCGAGACCTCCCAGCTCCCAGAGACTTCTTAACGCCCCCATATGAAGATCCTGATGCACGCTGGGGTTGGTGGCACTTTTTTTGCTGATCTGCCCATAACTGTTCTTTTGCAGTTTTAAAGGAAGGCAGGCAGTTATCCTCCCTTTGGCCACTGTCTTCTGTTTTACTAAAAGCCTTATTCAGTACTGGATTAGAAATCATGTCAATCATGCCAGAACCATAAAAAGCCTTCCTTTCCTGTGGATTTTCAGAGCCAGAAGGTAAACCGGACTGATTAGATAAAAACATACTTAGTCCTGTGTTGGCTTTAGGAGAGCTGCGACTTTCCTTTTTGGTATTTCCAAATAATGGTGTAGCATGGAATTTTCCAGTGGCTGATTCAAATAAAGGTGTTGAGGAGGTGGGACAAGCCTTTGTGGTGCTAGTCACCATAGGTGGTGGAGCACTCTGAGGCTGACTATGCCCCGGATTGCTCCCAGGGGTCCTTCGGGTTCTATCTGAACTGGGTAAAATGTCACCCTCTCCAAGACCACCACAGACACTAAATTTAAGATCAAAGACAGCAGCTTCTTTACGGGTGCCTACTGCTTCGTCGGCAGGTTCTAATAGAGACTCCTTCATTTTCTGGCCAGCTTGCATCATCTTCTGTACACTACTCATCTTGAGAACATTATTTATTGACAGTCTGGATTGCCACTTGTCACTGTCAGCCTGTTGAGATCTTGCCAAAGCTAAAATGTTTTCTGCGTAATTATTCAAGCCAGTTTCAACATTGTCAGAATCAACAATTGCAGAATATTTTTCTGCATACCTTTTGAACAGTCTGGCAGCACAGACCTGAGAGATCTCTGAGTTTGCCCATGCATACTGAATGCGTAATATGTGTGCACGGTATGCATCTGCTTTCTGCTCTGCTGTGCAAGAGCCAGCCGTAACTGTGAAGTAGTTCTTCTGCCATTCACTCAGGTGCACAGATCTAGAGCTGGAGGCCTGCATGTCAGGAGTTCTGTAACACAACAAAATTGAAGTCAAATCAGTATCAAGAAAACAAAAGTATAATACTTTAAAATTCTCTGCAAAGGAAGATAAAATGGATTTATTTATAAGGTAAATTTATAAGGACAGATTATTTATTTGTAAGAGAAATATCTAATTAATTGTAGATTTCAAGTACCCAAGATATAAAGATACAACAACAGAGACTTTTTTACTGAATTTTTTGTGTATTCCATACAGAACAGCTCAAACAGTCTTAATCATCTTTATACACCTGTCCCCATTGGCTCCCTCTCAAATCTCTCCCACCCCACTGGAGCCTTCTCCCACCCAAGGCTCAGGGACCATCTCGGAAGAGGGGACAGAAAGATTGTAAGAGCCAGGGAGGAGATGTGTAACTGTATGGAAACAGAGACCTACAAGCTCCTGGGAACCTGCCCATATGATTGTATGACAATGATATAGTTTTTAAGGTTAAAGACAAGTAAATAATGACTTCTTGAAGACTAAATTGTTTTAGTTATATAATAATTTTCCTACAGAGAGAACATTCATAGGTTTAAACAGAAAGGATTTAAACGTAATCAGAGAGAGGGGCTAAGGATGTGGCTTGGTTGGTAGAGTTCTTGTTACTATGCCTCAAGCCTTGGTTTTGCTTCCCAGCACTGCATAAACTGGGCATAACTACATATGCCCATAATCCTAGCACCTGGGAGGTGAAGACAGGAAGTTCAAGGTCACCCTCAGCTATACAGCAAGTTTGAGGAAACTCTGGGACCCATGAGACTCTATTCCCCATTCTAAAAAGAAAGAATGTAATCAAAGAAAGGATTTAAAGGTGGACAGTGATAAAGGAAGACACCTAATACCAGTCTCTAGCCTACATACATGTGTGAACACTTGCACACATGTGCACATGCATGCATACACCACACATAAAAGAAAAGACAAAATTAACACTTTGATATCATACTCTTGTATCTAGATAGGTCATCCAAAATGAAAAAAATCAACAAAGAAATCTCAGAGTTTAACTACGATACAGATGAAATGGGTTAACAGATGTCTATAGAATGCTACATCGAACAGAAAAAGAATACAAATTCTTTTCGGCATCCCGTGGAATCTTTTCTAAATAGATCACATTCTAGGTCACTAACTAAGTCTTACTAAATACAAAAGAAAATAATCTCTTGTGAGGTTGAGGAGATGGTTCCGTAGGTAAAGCGCTTGCCACGTAAGCATGAGGACTTGAGTTTGGAGCCCCAGTACACTGAAAAGAAGCTGGCATGTAGTTTGTCTGTAAACTCAGCACTGAGAGTGAGGGGCTGAACAGATAGGTCCCTGGGACTTGCAAGCTCCAGGTTCAGTAAGAGTCTGCCTCAAAAAACTGTGCGAAGTGACTGAGGAAGACACCTGACATGAACCTCTGGCTCCACATGGGCACTCACAGGCCAGTACACCTGCACACACACATGCACACCACACACACGCACACCACATACACACCCACATACACACACATATACGTGAAAAAAATCTCTTGATCTAAGATCACAGTGCAATAAAATCAGAAATCAATACTAAGAAAAATTACACAGCTACAAGGAGATTGAAGAGTACAACCTTGTACAGCAGTGAGTGAGTCACTGAAGATAGTGAGGAGAAAATAACAAAGTTCCTGGAACCAAATGAAAATTAACACACAGCCAGTGTTGATGGCGATCACTGGTAGGATATGCTGAAGGAGGCAGAGGCAGAAGGATCTGGCCAGCCTGGGCTACACATTTTTTAGCCGGGCATGGTGGTGCACACCTTTAATGCCAGCATTCCGGAGGCAGAGACAGGTGGATCTCTGTGAGTTCAAGGCCGGCCTGGTCTACATAGTGAGTTCCAGGACAGCAGGAGCTACAGGGCAACCCTGTCTCAAAAAGACCAAAAAAAAAAAAAAAAAAAAAGGAAAGGAAAAAGAAAATTAAGCACAAAATACCAGATTCCTTGGGCTACAACTAAGGTAGTCTTAGAAGGAAAGTTTATGAATTTATGGCTATGACAACTTTTATTGAAAAAGCATAAAGATCTCAAATAAATAACCTAACAGTGAGCCAGGGTCCTAGAAAAACAAGGACAATCCAAACCCAAACAGCAAGAAACAATAAATATCAGGGCAGAAATTAATGAGATTACTACAGATGTCAAACAGAGTCATTAGCAAGTGCTGTAAGAACTTACATTCCTAAAACTGGAAAATTCAGAAGAAATGAATAAATTCCTAGACACATATTTTACACCAAAATTAAATGAAGAAGATACAGATGACTTTAAACAGATCCACAAGAATCGATGAGACTGGAGTGGTGACAACAAAGGGAAGTCCGAGTCTAAACGGAAGACCTTGCAATTCTAACAAACTTTAAAGAGCTGACACCAATACTCTTCAAACTGTTTTTAAAATAGAGAAAGAACACTACTAAACTCATTCTACAAACCAGTATTACCCTAATATCAAAACAGAATAAGGATGCAATGACAGAAGAAAACTGGATAGCCATTGCCCTGATGAACATGGATATAAGAAATTCTCAATAAAGTTCTTGCAGATGGAATTCAAGAACACATCAAGATCATAAACCATGATTTCATTCAAGGTTGGTTCAACATATACAAATCATTGTGATTTCAGCAATATACAGACTGAAGGACAGAAACCACATAATTGCTTCATGATGAAAGTCCTGAAGAAACTAGGAATAGAAGGAACACACATCAACATAATAAATATATATACAAACCGACAGGAAATATCATACTAATAGGGAGACCGAGCATTTCCTCTAACATCTGAAAGGAGAAAAGACTGCCTACTCTCTCCATTCCTTTCTTTTACAAAATATTTTATTTATTATTTTATTTTATGTGTGTGTATTGCCTACATGTAGGTAAGTGCACCCATGTTGTGCAATGCCCTCAGATGACAGAAGAGGCTTTCAGATCCCCTGGGACTGGAGTTACAGACAGTTGTTAGCTGCCATGTAGGTGCTGGGATTCGAACCCCGGTCCTCTGCAAGAAGTCAGTGTTCTTAACCGCTGAGCCATCTCTCCAGCCCCTACCCTCTCCATTCTTATTCAACGTAGTGTTTAAAGTCTTAGGTAGATCAATATGCAAAGAAACAAAAGGGTTACAAATGACAAAGAAGTAAAATTATCCTTATTTACAGATGACATGATTATAAGATCCTAGACTCCAACAGAAAATTCTTAGATCTAATAAATGCTTTTAGCAAAGTGGCAGGACATAAAATCAACACACAAAAATTGGTAGCTTTTCTATACACTAATAACAAACTCACCAAGAAAGAAATCAGGGGGGAAGTCCTATTTATGTTTCTTTTTTTCCAATTTTTTATTTTTATTTTATGTTTATGAGTGTTTTGCTTGCATATATGTAAATATGTTATGTACATGCAATGCCCACAGAGATCAGAAGAGGGCACTGGATCTCCTAAAACTGGAATTAAGGATAGGTGTTAGCTGCTGTGTAGGTGCTAGGAACCAAACCCAGGTCCTCTGCAAGAGCAGTCAGTGCTCTTGACCTCTGAGTGATCTGTCCAGTCCCCCATTTACAAGTTTCAAAAAATTAAATTCTTAGAAGTAGAGATAGCTATGAAACATCTTAAAAGTTGTTCACCATCCTTAATAATAACATCCCTAATAATTAAGGAAATGCAAATTAAAACCACTTTAAGATTTCATCTTACCCCAGTCAGACTGGCTAAGATCA